TTTATCATCATTATTTTCTTCTGAACCTTTCAAGTACAGCTTTCTGGGGTGTTGCAAAGATGCTTCATTTCATTTTCTTGAATTGTATTTAATGTCTTCAACTAGCAATGGTAAATGAATCCTGTTTGAAACAGTCATTTCTATTCTTGTGTTGACAACTCGTGATAAAGAAATGACGCCATGTTAGTTATATTGCCAATAATTGACACGTAGAACTGAATAATGATTCTGGAAATGATTGAAGAAAAGTAACAAATCTATTGTTACTTTGATGGGTGACTGTTTTTACGTAAACTGGATCCATACCATATAAAGGCAATGTGTGCTATCTTCATTAACAGCTTCAATTGCCTTCGTGATATTTTTGATTTAGATACTTGAAAAAATCGACAGCCTGACGCCTCAGAGTCATAACAGAATGGCTGCGTTTTGCAAGGTGATAAATTACACATTTTTTTTTTGTAGAGTATCGAAGTCCTACTCTCCATATATCAGTTTTACATTTGTATGTTGATGTCAACTTATTCTACATTATCGTATATGTCAGAGTAAGGATATTAGGAACAGATGACATGTGACTATATGTCAGAGTAAGGATATTAGGAACAGATGACATGTGACTATATGTCAGAGTAAGGATATTAGGAACAGATGACATGTGACTTTATGTCAGAGTAAGGATATTAGGAACAGATGACATGTGACTTTATGTCAGAGTAAGGATATTAGGAACAGATGACATGTGACTTTATGTCAGAGTAAGGATATTAGGAACAGATGACATGTGACTTTATGTCAGAGTTAGGATATTAGGAACAGATGACATGTGACTTTATGTCAGAGTAAGGATATTAGGAACAGATGACATGTGACTTTATGTCAGAGTAAGGATATTAGGAACAGATGACATGTGACTTAATGTCAGAGTAAGGATATTAGGAACAGATGACATGTGACTTTATGTCAGAGTAAGGATATTAGGAACAGATGACATGTGACTTTATGTCAGAGTAAGGATATTAGGAACAGATGACATGTGACTTTATGAAGTAAAAACTGCCAGATTCTATATCAAAGTTAAAGCTTCTCTGTATTACTCATCGTTGATCATTATACAAAAGATGTCTATCAAAGATTAAACCAAAGTGCTAATGACAAGGGGTCATAAAACATGCAGAGTCATTCGGAGATGACATATTGTGGTTGTCGATGAGATCAGTACATTGTGTGGGCACTGTATCCTTTTATCTTCACAATAAAGAGGATTTTGTTCTTATCTGAAAAAAGTGGCCGATGTCGTTAAAAAATGTTTTGCAACGGATTCAGGAACATGTGATCTAACACTAAAAATATTCGACATTTGTATGATGCCGTTTGACTTCTCTCTAGCTCTAGGATTTATTCCAATACTAAAAACAGATTAAAAAAAAAAGATGAAGTACAAAAATACAAAAATGAAAAAAAAAATCAAACTTGATTAAATGAGTACAAAATTTGAACAAATGAAAGTGCGATGTGTAAAGGTACGTTTCGTTTAAAATTTGATCAAATAAATTCAAAATTTGAACAAATGAAAGTGCGATGTGTAAAGGTACGTTTCGTTTAAAATTTGATCAAATAAATTCAAAATTTGAACAAATGAAAGTGCGATGTGTAAAGGTACGTTTCGTTTAAAATTTGATCAAATAAATTCAAAATTTGAACAAATGAAAGTGCGATGTGTAAAGGTACGTTTCGTTTAAAATTTGATCAAATAAATTCAAAATTTGAACAAATGAAAGTGCGATGTGTAAAGGTACGTTTCGTTTAAAATTTGATCAAATAAATTCAAAATTTGAACAAATGAAAGTGCGATGTGTAAAGGTACGTTTCGTTTAAAATTTGATCAAATAAATTCAAAATTTGAACAAATGAAAGTGCGATGTGTAAAACGTTTAAAATTTGATCAAATAAATTCAAAATTTGAACAAATGAAAGTGCGATGTGTAAAGGTACGTTTCGTTTAAAATTTGATCAAATAAATTCAAAATTTGAACAAATGAAAGTGCGATGTGTAAAGGTACGTTTCGTTTAAAATTTGATCAAATAAATTCAAAATTTGAACAAATGAAAGTGCGATGTGTAAAGGTACGTTTCGTTTAAAATTTGATCAAATGAATTCAAAATTTGAACAAATGAAAGTGCGATGTGAAAATTAAGTTTCGTTTAGTGCAATATTTGCAACTTCAAATTACATAAATCTATTTATTTTTCTGGTTATGAGCTAACGTATTCAAAAGACGCTGTCGACAACAGAAGCAACTTTCCCTGAGGCAAAAACAGAACCTTTTTTCAGCTATAATGAAATCATGGCAGCATATTGATTTCTTTCCGTCATGAAGTTTGACAATTTTCCAGTCATACCTGCAACCTTTTTTCTCATTTTGTCATGACGTTTGATAATCTTCCAGTCATACCTGCAACCTTTTTTTCTCATTTACCGATCTGGTAAACATAAGCTTTATATAGTTGCGTAAAACATACGAAAACATTGCTCATTTTGCAAGAATTTCCAACTTCATGTGACACACAAAAGCGTACTTTCAGCTTCATACAAAACTTTGTCTGGATTCAAAATACGTCAATTGGAATGATTTGTTCTACAGACCATTGAAGTGGTCTTTCCAAAGAAACGGAGGGGATGCTTTAAACCATAAGTATCTTACCGTATACAAATTGAAGTCTTGAAATTCATTATTTGTTTATTTATTCCATTCAACAAGCCAACTGAACGAAATAGATGTAATACACAAATTAAAAAGAAATAATAATAATAACAAGAATCAATAACCAAAACATGTCACATTTTATATTTCTTGGAAATGTGTCAAAGTCTGATGAACGAAATTCAAACTGTAATTATCGATTTTCTCTTTATAAAAAACCACAGGCAAACCATTTTCATTTACCCTAGATATAGAAGGAGCAGCAGTTGTCCCGGCCAGATGAAAATTTAATTGGGTGTCTGTCAAGGATTTGACAAACAGCAGTTATATAAAATAATGAAAGGAAACGAACAAATAGAACTGGGTTCATCAAAATAACTACCCGCTGAAATTACTTACATGGGTTATTAAAACTGATGGCGCGATTTTTTCATAGAAATAGGAACACTAATGTTAATAATGTCTGGAGTGCCTTACGTTGTAGGAACCTAGTTGTTGTGACCTGTTTGTGCCTTGTATTGAGAATAGACCTACAGAAGTTATTACATTCACAAAGAATAATATTTTCTTCATCATGACCTTATATTTCTGACTTTTAGTGACCAATATTCAAGCATGTGACCGGCCTGGTAGGCATGTTTTTTCTACTATTATTATTTATTTTTGTTTGGCTTTTTTTATCAGGTCATATAAACGTCAAAAGACTTAATTAGATTTCCATGTCACAACCGATAAAAAAAGTGTATCTAAAATCATGTTAATAATAATTTCGTGAAATTTTAGAAAAAATAAATAAATAAATAAATAAATAAACTACCAGCAGACACTGTTCTTACTGTTCCTTTGTGTGATCATTATAACACGTCCAATAAGTTTATTCTTGCCTGCAGTGTTGTGTGCACTGCTAGAGATTATGGAAATTACAAATTTTAATTAAAACCATTTACTCTATCTCTACGTGATGTTTGTTTACGATCACATGTACTTCGACAAGAATGACATTTCGTGCTAAACTTTCTCAGAAAGCAATCGACTTTCAGACAGGGGATAAATATTAATTTCATGTAATATTAAAGATAAGTTTATATTAGAAAAGTGACGCAACAACCGTTATAGCTAACGTGGTAATATTAAGTTCATGGAGGATATTGCAGTTCAGGTTCATGACCTCTATCTGTTACCATTTTTTATCCACTTTTGTTAGATTTTTCTACCTTTTCCCTTTTTATGTATATTATTCCATTTATTCGTTTTCGTTTTTGTCCCTTAAATTGTTTTTATTTGGGTTTGTTTAAAATCTCAATTCTTCTTGCACTTCACCGTCATCTTCTTTGTCTCGTTCACATCTGGATCTGTAACATAGCCACTATCGTCGAGAGGTGACAGACAGAGAATTATTGTTGATTAGCAACAGTTTGATGCTTTCTATAATTGCAATCTTTTCACAAATAGTGTTATCATTTTGTAAGTAGGCTGATTCAAGTATGCCATCTCTCGCCCGGATTCAATCGGAGGAGAGAGAAAATGAGATAAAAACCATGTATTCCATTTACATCAATCATGATAACACTCTTCCGCACAAAGCGCTCAATGTTAACAGACAAATTGTGCCTTAATTTCTTAAATAGTACTCTTAACATCTTCCTTTCCATTTGGACACTCCTCTTCCGCATTTCTGCATTGTTTAAACTATTGGATTAAAGATGGCTTACAGTGAATTATTTCGAATTCATGAGACACAATTCTCAGGGGCTTTTCTTGTGAAATAGGAATACAGTCACAATGAGTTTATTTAATATTAAAATCGAAAATGGTTACCGGTAAGTCATCATTAATAATCAGGAATCAGTCTATAGATAACTACATACAGACAATACAGAAATGTGCTACATTCTATAACGGGAAACTAATACCGCTTTGAATATAAGACGGTCTAATAAAGGAAGGGAAAAATCTTAATCATTGCAGGGAAAAGTATATTGAGAAAAGCTTAATATAAAATGCAATTTTATAGAGAGATGTTATGTAATAACTTTAAAAATACGTCACGATATACGTTGTAATGATTTTTTTCGAACAATTCTTGAAAATATTCCTCAATTCGTCTAAAACTAAGAGTATGCTGAGAAAAAAGGGTGATTTCGAAATTAAATCGTAAAATCATCAGCTTATTATAAATATTTCAGGGTACATGAGTGATATCAAGATATCTTATTCCAAATTCACAATGCATTTATCTTACTATAATTCACAATGCATTTATCTTACTATATCTGCTGTGTTTTTTCATTACAGGGAGTAGAAACAACAACTTATTTCAAAAATGACACCTCCATTGTCATACACAACTGCGCAGATACAGCATTTGATGACACCTTCCGGTTATCATACGCCATCTACCGGTTGCTTGTCATGTTCGCCCTACCTACCGTAATCATGGTGATCTGTTACTCGGGCGTCATATATACACTGTGGCTCAGCTCACGACAGCTCAGCAAACTCACCTCAGGAGCAAGGTATACTAACATAACTAAAAACTCAATGTATGTGTATTCTAAAGTAACATTCAAAACCTACCTTAAAGTAGAAACCGTCACATGTCTTATCTTAGCCTTAAGATATAAGATATAAATGGCGTTAGATTCTAGTGAATTGATGAAGATAGTGGAAATACAGTTAAAATGACAGTAGAAAGCAGACAAAAATGAAATTTTAAACATACTGATTTTTCTGTGGACGTGTAGAGACTTAGGATGGAGTTGTCTCTTTGATTGAATAGAAAATATTTTTTGTTAATACAAAGGAAAACAACTTTCTTTTCTTTTTTAATGTATGCTTAGTGTACTTTGTTGTGCTAGACTCGATCACTTTCGAGAAGAACTGTTTTGTTTTTAAAATGTGCGTGTATAGTTGCGAGGCCTTTAGCCTCATTTAACGTGGCTGCTCTGTCCGGCGTCTCTAAGAACAGGCGTCATAGGAACCATTCCAGCTCCGTTAATTCAACAACCACTATTCTAATGCTTCGGGGATGATAGGCCATTTTTGTCAAACCACTGACGCAACATCACATCGTTTTACCAGCAAACTGCCGCTGATTCTGACGCAGAATACTAGATTGTCGATACTCCTCTACATAAAGGGGACAAAACTGTTAAGGACACTTGTTATTGGCACATGTTTCCGACGCGTGACTTCGAAAATAGACCAATTGATTCTTGAAAAAGTCTGATTACGTTTTCGTTTCGTGCGATTAAGATGATATAAAAATAATTTCCCTGTCCCTTTAGTGTCGTCTTCTAATTAGTAAATATCACACTATTCTCTCATCGTGCTTAGGGCTACTCTCGTTCTAGTGCCAGGCTTTCTATTAAGTACACCATGGACTCGTGCGTCCATAGTTAGGTTAACAATTCTATGTTTTAGCTACTATAGATAAGCAATAGCCGCAACAAATGACAAGCCTATGCACCATTGTTGTTACAGAATAATATATAGTATGAATTTTTTTCTAACTTTAAAAAAAAAATTTAGACTGCTATACTTCAGTATATGTGAAATGAATTAACAGAAAAGATAGAAAGTAAAGTGTATTTTCAAAGAGTATGTGTAATATATTTAAAAAATTAATCACAATTCAAACTCAAACTCCATAAAACTAGGCAAAATTTGAACAAAAATTTACAAGAAGACTTCTGATAAAGTACGAGAAAAAGACCAGGTGTTACGGAAGAGTAAGCGTCATCTGCTTCATCGACGACCTCCGCCATGTAAACATTGGTCAATCCGAGTAAGTCATGACATGTTCTCAAATGAGAACAAGGTATGCAACAATGGAACCAACAGGCAAACGATCATCAAATACTTCCTAATGACATCATCATGGCGGAATAAAACTTTTCCATAATCTTCATTAACCTGCATCTTTTGAACCCTTAATAAAAGATATTGTAAATCCGTGATAACCTTTATCCCTGAATTAACGTGAAAAGACAAAAGTTTGATAAAACATCGACTTGATGTTTTTCTGTGACAACTATTTTGTTGCTTTTCGCTTAAGATATAATGTATAAATATACTTTTTCTATATATATATCATATGGAATTCAGTATATATCAACTGTAAATATAATGATTGTTATTGATTTCCTGTATGTGCATCGAAGAGAGTTTACATCATGGCAACTACAATTTCCTGAAATGTAGATTGCGAGTATCCTCAAACCAAGATCTGTCTAAGATGATAGCCAATAGTTTGGATACAGTTATAAATAGGATTTGAATAGAGCCGACATCGACTGTTTTTGCACTGAATTTTTGTAGGAAATATTTATAGATAGGGAAGTGCTATTTTTGTTTTCCATCAATAAGTAATTACCAAAACCTATAAAGTGTTGCATCCTTACAATTAGAAACTGTACAGCACTCAAAACTTCGATCTTTCTGTTCGCGACCTCATCATCAAGTAATAGTGATTTTTGTTTAATTAAAACAACCATTTATATAATGATGATAATACATTTTAACGGAGTATGACTTGGTTCAAACTTGCCAATTTTTATGTGGTTATTAAAAAACAAAACATTGACATTATCATTCATTTACTAATTCATCTATTTTGAAACTTCAACCTTGTCAGGTTAAATTTACTAGAATTACATTGTGTTGTACATTGTAGATTGTACAAAAGACACGCAAATGAATATCACATTCCCATGCAACAATAAAATTTGAGTAGAGCCAAACCAATGCATTTTATGTATAAAAATTGCAGGTTTTTAGTTTCTGTTCTGTGTCTGCAAGTATTTCAGGGGAAAACGTATCCAGAAACGGAAACAAGAACAAATTATTATAGTGAAACCGTACAGAGTTTAACTGTCATTAGTTGTCTTACTAGAAGTTATTGCGCTGGATATAGAACAAAGAACATTATTATAATTATTAGTTAAGATTGTTTTAATTTGGCAGTATAAGTTAACTTGTGTAAATTATAAGTGATCAAAATCGAGAATACAAAATGTCTATCGTAGGACTGATAATGATCTTCATCTATTTGTATATATGGTTGTGTGTGTTGGTGGGAAGTAGTTAACGATTTGAAAAGAAAACTTTTAATATAGTGAATATGTAGTATTCTGCCGTTTTTACTCTCCACAGGAGTTTTCACTCTTCAACAATCTCTTTGGAAAGATCATGTCTAAGACAACATCCGCCACATTCAGTAACATTGGTAACCGGAAGTCCATACCGGATCCGGAAGTTCAACGTTCGCAATGGTGTCCAAAGCCATGACCGCAGTATGGATGTTTTAACAGCTAGAAAGCAGGTTTGTTCTGTCAAGGAAATTTCAGATTTATCATTTTTATTTGGTTTTCCATGCATTGATGGGTTCATTCTATTCATGGAACATTTATGGTTATATTTTACTAAAAGTCAGTGCCCATTTATAAAATTAACTACTTGCATTACCAAGACGGCCGATTTGGTTTTTGTTTAAATCATATATGCTGTTTCCAATGTTCATGTACTTCCTTAAACAAGTTAAGGATATGCGGATGACGTTGTGGTCACGCACTCATCTTTCATGTAAACTGTGTCCAAACCTTTTGAGTACAAACAAGCATAGCAACAACTGAATGTAGATGACCTAAGAACTAGTCCTCTATCAGCTTGTTCTTGATCTACCTCTACTTATAACTATGGTCAGCTTGACATATCGTAACGGGTGATATCAACTTTAGTCAAAATGTTAAGCTATTAGAGTTTTCCTGAATTGTCCTAAATATCGTGAAACCCCGTCCGTAAATAGGAATATAAATCTTGAAATACTTATGGAATCCGTTGAAAACTGTGAAACGAAAACATGCTGTGTTGGGTTTAGTTTCGGAGTGGGTTAAATCGATTCGGTCCAAATTTCGAAAATGAAAACAAAACATAATTCAGCGCTTCTCGATCCTGATGTTAAATTTACACTTCAAGGTTTACATGACATGTGTAGGTTATTGTGCTCGTAAACGAAACGTCCAATAAGTTTATTCTTGCCTGCAGATGTTACTTTATTTCCTGTCTATAAAAAGAACTAGGCTTGCTTGATAACGAAGTGAAACCCACCCATACATTATAATCTCTCAAAGGAGAAATTCTGAGAGATATGCAGCTAGACGTGTATGTTGCTCGTTTGCTTCTCTGTCGGTTGAGTTTTGGTATACCTTGTTGACATTTGAGAATGTGACATAACTAATTCAGGTTGGCCAAGGTTTACATAGTGGGTGGATGAAGCGGGAGACCCTTAACTTTCCGGAACACCTGGTCCTATTTTCCTCGAACTTTTTCAGGAATATCCGCGTAAATTTTATTTCATTTCATTTTTTTTTTAGTTTTATTGGATTTAGTGTTGAACAAGATGGTATTGATATGTTGGTGTTACTTATTGTTTTATATCTAAATATTCCGAGAATCACTGCTTTGTATAGAAAAAGAGTTCACATAGCTAATCATGTTTTAAAAAAGTATTGTTTTTAACAAATGTCTACAAAAAATCATCGCCTACGATTGTTTATTCTCGTTCTTAATCACCAAAGTAGTTATCGTCATAGCATTTTAAACCAAGTTTTCCAAACATTAATAAGACCAGAGATGGGGACCTGGAATTTTACGGAGTGGCATAAACAAACATTCTTGACGGAAGACAAACACCAATAGTGAACAAGATTGTATTCTGTACGGGTTACGATTAAAAAAATAGACGGGATTTTGAAATGAATACAAATATCATAGTTGTACTAGAATTAATTTCACATTTATGGTCTACACTTGACAGACAACCTTGTTGAACAAGCAAACTAAATCAACTTCACACCAGAAAAGATTGATAACAATCTGGTGAATACTCTAATCAGTAAGGGGAGATGTTAATGTCAATAGCTTCTCTTGTGAAGATGATTATCGCGAGTTTCTTTCAACAACGAATTTATAGCTGTAGTCCCTGTCAATGACAATTGTTTCATTAGAAAGAAAGTACTTTCAACTATCAACATGCTGCAATGAGTTCTAAATTAAGTTTCGTTCATTTCAAAGCTATTATGAACATAATCTTTTTATATTATTATCATAGGAAAATATAATTGTTGCTGTTATCCACTACGCCACAAGCCCAGGTCGTTTTTATAATCTATGGTACAGTCTCGCTACAACTACAATCTAGGAAGGCAGAAGTAATTGCTTTGCTGTAAATCCTTCAACGTGATCAATGATGTTTAAAACGCATTCACGTTCCAATTTCATTTGGAAAAGTGACATCATATATATCAATTGATCAAGAGGAATTCGTCGAATTAGTAGTCTCCGTGTATATATACAGTCAACCCTCTTTGTAATGCCATCGTTTGTCTACGACAATTTTGGTGACATGACGAGGGTGGCTGTATTGTCGGAATTTGAAAATAACATGAACTAATAGTTAAACAATGCTAATATTAAACAATGCTAAAATTTAAAAACTAAGTGTTGAAATTTAATCATATAAAGATACGTATATATATATAACATATTGCAAAAGTTTTAAGTTTTTATTTCAATTAAAAGGTAGGGAAAAGTTATTTAGAAATAGGAGTCGCGATATTTTATAACACATTGTTGCTATAGGTACCGACAATAGGCTGAGTATTGATTCGATTCAAGTACAACCTATATAAGATATACTTAATTAGCATTAAAGGAAAAAGAAGTCACTGATTATTTCCTGTTTGTCGTTGTCGGTATTAATTTGCTTTATTTTCTTAGATAACATTTTACAATTGTTGATATTTTTTTCTTTTGTTCGTATGTCTTATGTTTTAATCAATTAAGATTTTGGTAACAAGTTGTTTTTGAATACTGCGTTCTTCTGAACCAAATGTAAATCCACTATAATACAAGAAAGCTCATTCTAAAAAACAAGAACCTTGTCCTCACAGAATATTCACGTGTTTAATGCATTCCTAGCACATGTGCATGTTTTAGTAAGATATCTATGTAACAAAGTTCTTTATTAAAGGTATTTTGATGTAGTAATGATATTACTGCAGTTGACATATGTCTGAACGTAATATTTTACGACCTCGGATATCCTCATACCGTCCAGGAAATGCGGTAAACAGTATATTGGATGTGTTCCTTGGTGAGCTTTAATAGCTGGAAGAATACGTAGGAGTAAACTGACCGATTCTCTAACTACAGCACTTATCTAATAACGTGGTCCGGAGTGAAAATTGTCACAACGGGATTGGCAGAGGCTAACGCCCGCTCGGCACTGTCGGTTTCCTATTAGTGTTGGCAGGTTGAAGTGCGTATAGAGTACATTGTATTACAGTATAAAGTTTAATGATTACCAAGCATATTTAGCCATAAGTTTAAATTATGTCTGATGTGGCAGATGTAATTTAGGATACCACACTTATAACAGTTAGTAGCATTTAATTATAAAATGTTTGTAAAGTCTTCCCGATTCATCTATAGGCCTGAACTGTCAAAATCTTATAAGGCGTTCTTTAATAGTAGCGCAAAATGTGTAACAACTTACTGACCTACTAATCCATAATTTTAAAAAAAATCTTTTATTAAGAAATTGGTTAAATTATCTAATTTGTCGATTCCCTACTGCCAGAGGACAGAGAATTGGTCTGTAGATCAATCCGAGTGATTCGCCTTTTACCTAATTACGTGCTAAAAATAAAGATTTATTTTATTGGATCTGACTTGTTCGAATATTGCGGAACGTAAAGCCTTGAAATGGTCTCAGCTGACATTCATAGCAATATGATTGCTTCTGCTAGTTATCAGAGTAATTTTATTTTATTATCCTGATGACATGCATATTGCATTTGAACGTCAAAGATGATACACAGTCGGCGTATTTCAACCCAGGATTTGGTAGGATTGCTATCAAATACATCATTAATGCCATAAGGATGTTCGGCTTGTCAACAAGTAATTTGATATCGCGACAAAATTGTTGCTAAATTATAAAACTTATTGTACACCGATACATTGGTATGGAAGTCGTAAACTGAGTCGTGATTTATACAGAGGTATATATATCGTTCAATCTGGCGGAGAACTGGCAACAAAAATTTAAAAAAAAACGTACAAAAAAAAAGGATTTTAAATGTTTCATTAACAATTTGGTTCGAGGCATATCACAACTTGTATTCAATTTCTGATAAAGATTTATATTTTAATCAATTTTCAGGTATGATAAGTAGTAATGAACATGTATAGTTATGTTGAATCTTTATACGAAATCACTGAATTATGGCATAATAATTGCTAATTATCCTCCAATCTGACAGGAAACAGAAAAGTTATTATAACTTATATAGCGAATTGCTGATGATCTCCGTGGTTATATTAGGAGAGCTTAGCAGTACGTTTGAAACGTTAAATTCAGAAGATTACTTTATGAATGTACAATTGCAAGCAACCAGGAAGTTAAATATAGTAAAAGTATACACCTGTAAACGTCACAAACATTAATACGAAAGTGGAGGTTTGGGATACAGCGATCAATCTATTGGTGTATCTATATAGTATTGTTGATTTCTAGAAAGTGGAGAGTAATTCTATTCATTGTTCCAATGTGAACGGTTTGATGTCGCCAGTATCAGTTTTACAATCAATATAATCTTATAACATAGCTATGTGTTGCCCTAAAGTGTAACCAAACATATGTTACGTCATACATATGTGTCCTCCAAATGAATCCTCAGAGGAAATTCTTTAGACGCTTTTTTATTTCGTCTGTAATATTTTTTTTTTTTTAATTTAAGAAAAAAAGAGTACCATATCAAATATCAGTCAAAAGAACTTTTCTTTCTAAAATTGATAAGTTTTGGATGTACCCTTTCGAATGATAGAATGACAGTCAATTGATTCATGCTATATGTTTTGTATAACAAAATCATGCTGTTTTTAATATTTCCTTCCAGGTAATCAAAATGCTCATCGCCATCGTTGTGGTTTTCTGTTTTTGTTGGGGACCAAAACTTATCTATTCTGTGTTACTCCGACTGAACTTACCTATACTGTACTACCCCGAAGCCTTCACTACAAAAGTAAGTAGTTCATAAACAGTATGTTGCATGCACCCAGGCAGACAAATACACAATTAAATACAATTTTTATTTAACATCACAATGAAGATACTGTCAAAAGTATCGATGTAGTTTTGATGGATAACATGAACAGATTATGTTTTTCATATAAATTGAGAATTTTCCATTTATAAATAGCAACACTCTTCCTTCCCCCATTTATGGTAATTACATATCGCAGCTGTTTTTGATGTTCAAGGGCCTGTTCCCAATATCACAATTTTTGCGCAATATATTATCAACTGACAGGCAAAAAGGGTTTCGTATGGTGAAGGGTTATGAAAATTGTGACAGAAATTTTCCGACGTCATATTGATCTCATTGGAAATATTATATTTCTTTGTGTTGTATTAAGCTGGATGTGTACGTTAGTTTGGCTGTTGGTGTTGTTGTTTACCTTGTTCTTATCTAAGTACGTGACATTACTTACTTGCATTGAGAAAGATTTACATGGCTGTTGTCCTCGACGAAGCAAACAAAGCTGATTAGTCTTTTCTCATCTATTCTATTCCCCATGATGGAGTTTAAAGTGAACAGGGATGAGTGGGTAAATGAAAAAAAACATACTTTCGCTTTCCAATCTTCGGAACATCAATCAAATTTCTTACAGCAAATGCAATTAGTTCTTCTCTTTAAATTTAAAACTCACACAAATCGCATAACTTGAATTTTGAAATGTTTATTGCTAAGAGATATAACTTCTGACTGTTTCGTTTGCTACAGATCTTGTCAGATGTTATAAGATATTAACATGTTTTGATAAATGTTGACTGGTTTTCAGGAAAACAAAAAAAAAAAAAAAAAAAACGCACTCATCACGAATAAAGCATTACAGTAAATTGTAAATCAAATTGCTTTTCAGCATTCAATAAACCATATTGTCTCGTTTATCTCCTTCTGAGAAAGAGCAGCTTATACACTGAAATGCATTAAGATAAATTCATCATCTGGAATGACTGTTTTAGTGACAAGAAAAAAAATCGTAAATGTAAATTTATGAGAGTGTTACGAAATTCATTGTATTATGAGGCTAGTGCACCTGTCCATTTAGAGTCTGACTCTTTCGATCAGTTTTGATTTTCCTGAGTCGCTTCCTTGGTTTTGAAAATTAAGCCCTTTGGCATTAATAACGAGTCATAGAAAGACGAAAGGGCTGTATGACACTGTGTAAATGTTAGGTTCTGCTGTATCTAATATGATTCACTTGTGCGTCTTTTGTTTTATCCTTAATTATCGTAGGTATGTTCCGTTAACCAAAGGAATCATATATAATATATGAGTCTGTGATTAAATAATCGTTTTTGCTTTATTTTCAGATCATTTTGGATTGTCTCCCCTATGTACAGTCCTGCCTGAACCCTATTATATATGGTTTTATGTCTCGTAACTTCCGGCGGAGTATGATGGCCGCCTGCCGACGAAACTATTGTCTTTGTCGTTTCTTAAAGTGTTTCGCAATGAAGAAAGTAATTTTAACAGACTACGAGTTAGACTCGAAAGCAAGTAATGGGACATCTCAGACAAGACTCACTGTACACAACGCAGCCCTGGAGGATTACCATAGTAACGTACAAAGAGGAAATAACTGTGTCTCATAAAATGTATACATGGAAATAGAACACTTTTCATCATGATTCATTTGATGTTTTTATGACTCAAGAACCAAGACAATCATTTCAATAGTGAAATTTCGTGTTAACTCGTGAAGGTGAGCTGAAACCCATTCCATAGTAAATACATCATATTCATATAATTCGATTACTTTTCTACGTAATTAACAACACTTTGAAAGGATTGTCAAGCAAAATGTTGAAATTGTCACTTCTAATCCTGCCACATTTGCTTTGAAACTTTATTATCTTCTAAATGAATTTGCTTAATTCTGTAATTCTCTGAGACAATACTGCTGATATTTTTTGCCACTGATCTTATTACGATGGATTATAAACAATCTATGATATTTCAACCAATCAGGGATAAGGATCGCCTTAATGTATAGACAGAAACACTGATGTGTATGGTGATAATAATAGCTGATGTTGTTTAGAACTCTTGAAATTATTTGATGTGGCATGGACGGTCACATGTAGTTTTATGGCATTTAAGACAAATAAAGTATGCTTTGGTGTATGTTAATACCGAGGTCATTCTACGGAGAGTAATTATCAAAATGTGTGATAACGTATTTATTAAAGATACAGAATTCCATTATAAAATATGTGAAAGCACTGTGGAATCCCTCTCAGAACATCAAATACTGCTCTTAAATTTTACTCGTCTTAATTTAAGGAATATATTTCCCCATATTGATGTTATATTTTTGTATATTCTAAATTCATCAGTGTTTTTGCTTCTTTGGTGATTTTCCAAATAAAATACTATATGATTTTAAGTAAAAAACATCCCTTTGTGTATTTATACACATTAAGTATCATTTTTATATCGACGAGCAGATGTTTGTAAAATTTGGTGCAACAGAAGTGTTTTTAATTGATTTTTTTCGTAGTGTTCGTGCATTTCTTCACACTGAATGAAACAATATTTTTATAGGTCAATAAAAGCAGAGAAAATTTTCAAGACCAGAGTAGTCCATCAAAGCTATAATTCTGATATCACATCTTCAGAATACTGTAGTACAAAAATGTTTGTTTGAACGATTTCTTAATCATAAAAAAATTTGAAACAAGGAGAATTGTTCAGTAAACGTTCATGTGACTTAAATATCGAAATACTGAGGAGAGGGGGTAGCTACATGTACTGTTTGTTTTATCAAAAAAGTTCAAGCTTATTAATTATTTGCTTATTACAATAAATTAAAAGTCCACTTGACCAAACGTTTTAGTGTTCGCCGCATTTTAAATTTTCAATTTTTAGAGACAACAATACCAAGATCCTTTCTTAAGGAACCGTGATTTTGGAGATTTAGAGACGGCAGTATCATGACCGTTTCTGAAGGAACAGCTAGTTTTTTTATGTAACAGTACCATGAACCTTTCTGAAGGAATCGTTAGCTTTTAGATACGACAGTACCATGACAGTTTCTGAAGGAACAGTTAATATTTTGATGTAACAGTACCATTACATATTATGAGGTAGTCGTTAGCCGTTTCATACAATTGTACTTTGACATCTTCTTTAGGAATCGTTAGCTTTTGGAGATAATAGTACCATGGCCCTCGGTGAGGGAACCGTTAGCCGTTTACTATAAAAGTACTATGGCCCAAGTGCAACCTAAATAATTAATCAATATGAGGAACTGATGAAATACAAAAAAAATATAATCTTCTCCCATATTCCATGTCTGTCTGTTATTGAAACATATTTGGCAATCAATGGCTCCAAATCCTATACCAGATGACCAGACACATGCTTCCATTATGCTGCCACAAAAATGACAAATGCTGTTATAAGCCCCATGGTACATAAATGTAGGCATGTGGGAGAACTATTAAGATAAATGTATAAACCAGTACGCGAATACGGATATTGGTCATTGATGCAGGTGATGAATGATATCGGAATGGACGAGTTAATAATGTCTTGGACGGCAGGGGGAAACATATCGATGAGAGCTTACGGTTGCTGTCAATTCACATTGATCGGTCACGTGAGAGGTACAGGCAGATAATAAAACACGTTAGGTTGTACCTTAAATGAATTTCCTCCAGATCGTCATATGTATATACAATTATCTTACACAGCCGCCGTAGCAGAAAATCTTCAACATATCCCTCAACCATATAATCATATAGTCAATTAATAAGACGCTCCTTTTACCTTTTTAGTTTGATAGGGTATGCACTGGTATTGTATGCATCTCTTGGCAAACTGAAAGACATTATCACTCTCTAAAAAGTGTTGGAATTTTACATTATCAAAACAGTTGTCTTGCCTTTCCACACTTGTTTGTGATTAATCATAAGAATTTAGACATTTTCATGTCGACGTTTTAACAGAAGTATGAAAAACACAAACTCTAGCAAATTGCGAAATTTCATTTAGGGATCGATACAGTTCAAATAACTGATTAATAGTTTTCATCCACATCAAGGTTTCATTGATTTAATCAACCATGTTAGACATGTCTATATGTAAACAAATTAGGCGAAAACCTTATGTGAAACTGTCATGGGGCACATAGCCGATACTATAGACCCATACCATCTAATTCCAATCTCACTCGAGCACATAATACCTTATCTTCTTGAGGCTATAGATAATAGAACTCTTGTTAGTAATTTACAATCTTAATCGTGTTTTAAAGACCATGACAAGTGTTTTAATGTCACACTGGGAAATGCCTGCGTGATATCTAGATTTTAAGCAGTCCACAGAGAAAAACATTGTGCCTTCATTTGATGGCGTTTTCAAAATCGATATCTCCTCATACGTGGGTAAAACAAGCTTAAAGAAAAACATCGCGTTTCCATTTCTTTTTGACAGAAAACTGATTGATTTTGAATTAAAAGGTGTCATAGTATACAGTACAATCAGAAAGCTAATTGCTTGCTGGAAAGAAAAAAGGCAATATCATTGTCTGTCATTAACTAGCATACAGAGTAAGTGACAAGATGCTCCCGTTTGAGAATACGTACATCCATATACATATGTTTGTGAAAAGGTCACAAACAACAGACTGTGAGGTGAATATTTAAAGATGGCAAATTTAATTTAGGTCACGTCATATTGTTTTGTTTTTTGTTTTTTTTAAGTCAGTAATGTTTTTAGGAAAACTACATTTTGAACACAGAACCAAGATGACACGGAAACAATGGCAAAATATACACAGAGACAGATTAACAGAATACCCTGATAAAGAAGAGATCAAGGTAAGCGGCTGTTGTAGAAGACTGTCGTGTTCTGTTCTACAATTCTGGTAGGTATGGTCAAGGTCAGGGTCAATACAGTTATCTTATTTAAAGACAAGGTATCCTCAATACATATATAAGTGAAATTGAACCTGTCAATAAAAATAGTAAAACAAAGGTGTGGACATTAAGGCGTGTACATGCCGTGTAATTGCCTTTTTATGAAAAATTGCGGATTGTCCTCATAATGATACCACTTAGACGACAGCACATACTTCCTGAACTTTCTTAGTGCAGGAAAACATAAGGTATGAACCTTTTAACATTGAGCAATAAATTTGATAACTTTTCAATTAAGCGCCGTGTATAAAAACATAGTATCTTTAATAGATATGCCGCGTGTTTCAGATGCCATTAGGCATTGTAAAATAAATATGTATATGAAACTGTGCTACTAACGCACATCGTCCTGGAAGCACGTATTAACACGTAAACAACTTTTTTCAGATAACCACTTCTTAACTATATGTATGAAAATTGAATTTTTAATGCATATCTTTAATAAGAGCCTTATAGATTGATTGGGAAAAATTCTACTGCCAGATTGATATAATCGAAAATTAACGAAAAATACTTGACAGGACGTCATGCAAATGAAGTGCAGCTCTATTTAAAATGTCTTAAGCTTGATATCAATAAAGATATGATACACGTGTATAATATCCCTGCTCGGTGGAAAACACAATCAATTCATGGCAATAGAAATATCGCCCAAAGGATACAAATGTAATTTCTTGGAATGTTAATTCGGTTTTTTTAATCATTACTATTCATACGTATAAGATGTTTTGAATATACTTAATCTTTGAATCCATATGTCCGAAAATCCACAAGCCGGTAAAAATTGGCATAGTTTCATCTGTGTAGTTAATTTCTATGGAGTAGTATTCATGCATGAAATAAGTTCACTGAAATATCATTTTCCTCAAAAATAACATTTTTTAGTCCCATAAAATAAAAAATGATACTGATACCATCATCATTAACCGAAGTACAAGTATTGAAATTTGATAACCGTTGATTTATCAAAAAAGCAATTAACATGTATGGCATTACGGAAGTAAACTTTCAATAAATGAGCACTACTCTGCTACACACATCTTAATCAGGAGACATAGACCTCAATCTTTTATCATTATATTGGTCAACAAAGACATTTGTGTTAGAAATCTAATGTCAAATTCGTCTGGCTGTAATGACTACCAAGTGATTTAATGCTGATAAAATTTACGATACACAAGAACTGTTGAAGAAATTCATGAAAAGGTTAATATATATGTGTCTACGTTCGAGACACAAGAGAGCTTTAACATTCGACAATGTATAAAAAGTATTCTGTAGGTCTGTCAATCGCATTACACAGGAGACAATATAAGGACGGAAACCGACTGATGCTTTTGGTTAAGAAGATTGCACAAAAGACACATATACAATTTATGATAATAAAAACATTTGTGTTCTACATTGAAATTATTTGCTTTAGGTTTGATATTGTACCATTGAATTCATGTGTTACGATATGCGATGAAAGTAGGGTGGTTGAAGCTTAATCGACTACAAAACCGATAAGCCAATTAGCTAGGCGGATCGAGGTCATGTGACAAAAACAAAAATCGTACAAGGTGGGAAATTTGTAGATTGGTAATTGCAATCCCCCGTACTCAAGCCACGCGCTTTTTTTGGTAAAAGGCGACGTTCGGCGGATTTTCGTGTTCATTTGGTCGCCTTTT